CAACGTACAATTTTGCTTTCTGGGTCTAGTACATCTGAAAAGAGCTTGTTTCATCTGATCGACTTATTCGATAGGCCTACCATTGTCATCACTGGCACATGAACAGAATAAATCCAGAACTTCCCCAAATGTGTCCCTTGTGTGACTAAGCATATGAGACTATGGATCATGACCTGCTCCACGACACAGCCTTAGATAACATCAGAGCTACCCATCTCACTATGAGACCTAACATTGACAACACACTCTAAGGAACATTATAACAAATGAAGCAAACCTGCACTAATCACTACATGGCATTGGACAGAATGGTGAGAGCCCAGCTGTTACTGGATCGATAACAACAACAACAACAACAACAACAACAACAACAGCAACAGCAACAACAACAACAATATCATCATCAATAGCACCAATAAAACCCGCAGCAAGTGTCTGTGCTCCAAAAAAGCAGATGACTCACAAACAAGGAAAAGCAACTCACTGACACACGTGTTGTTCACGTCCTCATAGCCCCTGGCACAGTCACATGTGAAGGACCCAGCTTCGTTGTAGCAGGCCTGGGGGTAAACAGATAATAACTGTCATAGGTGGTTATAACTAATTGTCATAGGTGGGTTAACTCACCACCTGCCCCTGCCACAAATGCTGAGGACAAAGCTCTGTTTCAGCTGTCTTCCTTTGGTGCAGCCCTGGTCATTTCCTGAAGTTGTCTTTAGACCATTCCCAAAGAGGGGATATTAATTATAACATGTTGTTAATAATGCACAGTAGAATTGTAAATGGGCTGATTTATCAATGTCATGTGCCAGAACAGCATACGGGGAACTGCTGCTGTTTCTTTCGTCATCCTTACTATCGTCATTTTTCCTCTACTTCTTTTGTATGTTTGTCACTCTCTGGTGAACTGCTATTTCCGGGAAGCTTTGATTGTCGAAGCTGACTTTGTGCTGTTGAAGCTAGAGAGGTGAGCAGAGTAAGCATGATTCCCTGTATGAACTTCTCTGTTGACATCCACCGCTTGGCGCTCATTGACCTCATGCAGTTGCAAGCGCCGTAAAACCTTACTAAAACTAAAGTGACATTTCTGACAAGAACACTGGTGATGATCCTGAAGCAGGGCCGTCTGTATCTGCCAGTAATGAGTGCAGACCAGTACAACCGAAGGATGAAGGGCTTGCAAAACAGGAACTTCTCTCCTCAGACCTGGACTAAACTGATCAACATGATACTGAATGGGAGTCTGAGACTGACGTTGAAAACCAGTGATAAACCTGGAACCTCTTTGAAAACTTCCTTAAGCCGAGTTCTAATGTACATTTTGAAATGTAGATTAGATCTGGTACGGTCCCATGCATGAGCTGTATTGTTATTTTTCATCATGGGGATACATTGCAACTTTGGTTGAAAAAATTGGATAAATAACTACCGGTTCTTTAGATGTAATATTCATCACTTTGAAATGTTTTTGTATTGAATGAAATGCTGGGAATTATTCTACCCTTTTGAAAATCAATAAATAATATCTCTAAACTGAAATGCAATGGCCTACACTTCTGTTAGTCAGGGCTGGATCCTGCTCGCAAAATCTGAGAGTGGCGATTCACGATTCAGTCAGTTCAATGAATCACGAGTACGCGAGCGCTCGGGGAACACTAAGTCTCGGGCTCATTGTATTCGTGAAACGGAACAGTGTCATATCAACGCCACTCCGCAAGTCCCACTCTTGTTGTCCCGCCATCCTCTCTGTCCCCGCCCTTTGTTGAGCTGATACTGACCTCAATTAGCAACCTGCATAAATTAACCCCCCCCCCCCCCCCTTTCTGCCAATCCCCTCCCATCAGGATTCCAACACATACGCACAAATTGTTAAGCTGTTAAAAAAAGTTCGCTAAACTAAAACAATGGCACCGTAAAATTCCTTCTGTCTATTGGTTGGAACCCGTTCATTTTGTTTTAATAGGGGGGTTGGACTATGCAATCTTTTGTAAAATAAGGGGAGCCATACTAAGTGTTGCGTTCCGTTCTTGCGCTCGTGACTCGACTCGCGACTCAGCAGTAGGTTACAAACAAGCCTCAAGGTGGTGACAGCGACAGGGGAGTTAATCGGGAATCGGAAGGCGATACTGTTCCGCGTTCCACTGAAGTGAACCGCGAATTGCGTTCCGCAGGGAAGAGTGGCGATTCAGTTCCGTTCTCGCGTTCACGACCCAGCTGTAGAAAAAGTGTTAGTATGCCCCAGTTACCCTGATGTGGAGTTTACTATGTTAAAAAATCCCCTTATATATGAGGATGTCTTAGTCACCCTAAGGCACCCTCCCTCCCTCTTTACCCTCATATTTGTTTAAAAATTTAACATATTTGTCCTCGAAAGGGTCTAAATCATCACAATCAAACCATCCCCCTAATTTGAACCCAAAAACAATAACTTAAACTCATAAATTTTTTAATTTTGCATCTTAGAAGCTAAAAAAGGAGCCTTAGTCACGCCGGTTTGCCGTATTACATGTATTTTACACATTGTGTGTGTTCTTGTGTTTGTGGATACATGAACGAGTGTTTGTGTATATATAATATGTACGTGCATCTGTGTTTATGCGTGAGTGTCTGTGTGGGATGTGAGTGTGCATAAAGACGGCAAATACTCAATTCCCCTCTACCCCTACTTGCCTCGCACGACACACACATAAACACATATATACACACACACACACTTAGACAAACACACACACACACACATGCACAACCACACACACACACACACACACACACACACACACAAGAACTGCCACACACAAATACACACATACACACATAAACATATACACACACAAACACAGACAGACAGACAGACAGACAGACAGACAGACAGACAGA